AATATGTCTTCATTTAAGTATGGAGACCAAAACTGGGCACACTATTCCAGGTGTTGTCTCACCCTGCCAATTGCAGCAAGATGTCCCAATTCTAGGCATCTGACCTCACTGCAATTAAGGCCAATAAAGCAGTTGCTTCCAGATTATTTCCTGTACCTGCGTGTAAACTTCCTGTGTTTTTTCTTTTGAATCAGAAAATATTTGCAGCAGAGACACAAACTATTTGACTCATGTCTTTGAAGACTTTCTAGAAGCACAGCTAGTCCTGCCTTTTCCTCATATGTTAGTTTGTTTTTTTCAGGCAGTTGGCTAATGCCCTTTTGAAAGCCATGATTGAGCTGCCTCCACACTCTGGAAAAAGTGCATTCCTAATTTGAACCACATGTCACATTTTGTTCTGTTGCCATTCATTTTAAATCAATGACCTCTGTCTCTTTACTGTTCCATCAATGGGAACAATGTACCCCCAAACCCTGTAACCGTTCTTCTAAAGACCTTCTCTAATGGCTTTACACCCTTGGCAAAGTGTAACGTTTAGACCAGGAGACGATATATAAACGGAACAAAAACAAAGTTGCTGGAAAAGCTCAGCAGGTCTGGCAGCACCTGTGAAGGAAAAAACAGTTAACCTTTCAGGTCCGGTGACCCTTCCTCAGAACTGATGGCGGCTGGGAAAACATCAGTTTATATGCAGAAAATAGGGACGTGGGTGGGGTAGGGAGTAAACGATAGGATAGGGCCCAAAGAGCGAGAAAAACAGTTGGACAAAGGTGTTGCTAACGATCAGGCTGGGAGGATGAATAGTTGTTAATGGGGACTGTTAGTGACTAACATCAGGGGGTGTGTAATGGCAGACTGTGATAACAAGGCTTGGTGAGTGGGGTGGGGGCTGGGACATGGGAGAGTTTAGGCCCTAAAATTATTGAACTCAATATTGAGTCAGGAGGGCTATAGGGTCCCCAGCGGAAAATGAGGCATTGTTCCTGCAGTTTGCATTGGGCTTCGCTGGAACACTGTAGCAAGCTAGAGACAGAGATGTTGGCCAGGGAGCAGGGTGGTTCATTAAAGTGGCAAGCAACAGGTAGTTCAGGGATAGTAGGAACTGCCGATGCTGGAGAATCTG